AATAGATAGTCAGGCAACCGTTATCCATCACAACATGCATACACACAGCATGGCGCTATTATTAAAGCCGGGTGTTTGTCAGCTCTGTGTGAGGACACAATGAGCACAATCTTTTACATAGGTGCATAATTTTGTGCCCCCCAAAAACCCCCCCCTTCCACCGCTGCCTTTCATTATTAGCTATATATACCAATCTACACACCGCGGTAACATCACACCTCCGCCTGCCCTGCGCTGATGAGGATGAGTCACCAGCCAGCAGGCATTAAACAGCCTGAATGGAGGCTGGGAAGGAGTTATTAGTAAACACATTTATCTTCCTGACGTGCCCTCTGTGAAAAAGGGACTCAAGTGTGCGTGTAACCATCCAGCGGTTTCTTATCTGGAGCTAAATGGAAGTCTCGGTGACAGCCACAATTAGGCAGGAGAGCGCAGGAGGCGAGAGGGTCTCGCACATGGTAATTACTCCGTTACTGCCGTGAGGCCGGTGACACTAAAACGCGGGGCTGCAGATCAACGAACACACCAGTGAGACCAACGTACGCGTCATTAGGGCGAAGGGTGAATACGCGGTTTCGGATTTGTGATGGAAGGAAGGCAACGGCGCGTCTATTGAGACATGAAAAGTGATGGAGTCCAGACAGAAACCTCACAAATGACTTGAATTGAATCAAAACGGGGTCGTCTGAACTCTCGACTTTTAAAGGCGCTGCGCATGGCTGACGCCCTGTGACGCCTTGCTGCGTGCACCTGGCTCAGAAAACTTTGTTTGCTATTCAACGGCGAAGGGCAACACAGTGAAAGTTATCCCAAGAGCGAGTTACTGCTGCAGCATGGGCTCAGGCAAGTCCTCCGAGCCAAAACAACAGCGTTGGCTGGAACGTCTTTTGAAAAACAAACCTGAACTCTATCCGGCGCGGGGCGTTTATTTACCCCACAGACACGGGCTCCGTTGCTCCAGGCCTGCCTGACACAGCAATGCTCCATATTTTATACCTTCTCTACGGGCAAACGGCGCCGACTGTGACAGGTCCTGCTCAGACTGAAGTGTGTGGAGATGTGTCTTTGTGTGCGCGTGCATGTGATGCATGTTAAGTGTGTGACAGAGCAGCTCTGCCCAGAGCAGTCCTTGAGAAGCTGCTGCTTTGTTCAATGATTGACCTGTCTGCTCGTTCTCTTCCCCATCCATCCATCCATCCATCCATCCATCCATCCATCTCGCTCTCACCCGCTTCCCTTTTCACTTTTCAGGCGAGGTTTGACTCTCTCCTGTTTGTCGGCCTCCCTCTTCTTTGCAAAAAGCACCGTGCGCCCGCTCAGACGTATTGATCGCGCACACGTCATTCAGATGGCAAAAAAAAGAGATTGCGATCGACTGAGCGATTCGTTGTGTTTCACAGGCGTTTCATGTTTATAGTCGCTCCGTCCGTGGGAGGTTTTCTGTGGTGCATGCACGCTCCCCCGCTGGGCCCCCCCCACCCCCCCGATACGTTCTCCGGGATATTTACACCCGGACTTGACGGATAACATAATTAAGGTTGTGTAGTGATCTGTGGCAGCGTTGGTCCTGCTACGCACAACACCAAACTCAAGTCAGTAAATAAAGCTCTTACCCAGGGGGCGATGCCGTGACACAACATATATTCAGCGGAATAAACACACACACACACACACACAGACATAAATGAGCAATTCTACAGTCATGTCACAGTGCAGAATGCTAGCTGTTAGTGATGTGGTGGAGAAAGTACACGATGTTACAAAACATATAGCTGAAAAAAGGTCATCCGTTTTATCACAGGAGGTTTTTCTTAGGAGGCCAAGAAAGTCACCGTCTCATGACAGATGATAACTCATTACACCACCTTTCAGTGTGTCACGGTCCCCTTTATATCATCAAACGCTGCATTTAAAGTCTCACACTGACTACATGAAATAGGAGTTCTTTAAAGGAGCTTATTTGCCTCCTGGAGCTTTTAGCTACAAACTACAGCTGCTGCTGATTAGCAGGTCAAACTGCAAACAGGGAACGCTTTCAAAACGTTGCTACTCACCTCTCACCTCACTGACCACTGATATTATATTATGGTCAAAACGGGCACTCTACAAACTGTCATGAAGTTGTTTCGTCCCCATGTGGTTTTGCAGCATGCTTGTAAAACACACACTGTTATTATCACCGAATTGGTGAATTTAAATATGATAAAAAGGTCTTAATGATGTCTGACGTCATTTTTTCTACATAATTAACACGCTTTCTCTTTGGACTTGTCGAGCATAAATCTGCTTAATCTAATTCACGCAGGGGAAATACTTTGTCTATCTTATTTGTTCTCTAATTGCTGATGTCAAAGAAGGTCTCGACGTGGGTCAATATTAGAGTATTTGCATGCTTTTTATCTTGTGCGCTACTCGTCCACTTTTATCACTTGTGAATTCATGTGTCGGGCCTTTCTGTGATTGAGTTTCTCTTGAGACAGAAGATCATCCCCCACAGACAGACAGTTCCCCTCACTGGAATGTTAATAGCAGAGGCCAACGCAGCTAATTGGACTGTCTGTATGTGTGTGTGTGTGTGTATGTGTGTGTGACCCGTGTCTACCAGCCTGTATGAATAAGTGAAGACATCTAAACTTGGGTAACTGATGTCTTTCTCCCTTCTGTCTTTAATTCCCTCAACTCCAATGGGGTCCCGAACTACGGGAGACAATCGTCACACTGAGAATTGCTGCATGCGATTCGGTTCCCGTCCACGTCTCAAACCAACGGATCAAAACACCATTTTATCATGCTAATATATGTTTTATTGTGAAGCATATCCATCCTTTAGAACAGCCTCCGCACATTCATCCTATCCGGCAAGCTCTATGGAGCCCTCGCCATCATCTCTATCTTCAAAGAGGAACAAAGAGACCCTTCATCACATGATCAAGACCGACCAGCCAACTGCTTTCAGACTTGTGAGAGGATTAGAGGCACTTTTAAACTAAAAAAAAACAAAAAAGCTCCACATCTCAGCTCGCTGACAGACCAGTGGGACGGGAGCGTGGGCAGAGCTCTATGAGGAGCGCTTGGCTGGGAAGGCAAAGGGAAACTAGGCCAGAGGGGCCACAGAGGTGGTGTGGTCCACTCTCCTTTGTGAGGATTTTAGCTCATGTGTCCATTGATATGTCCAGAATGGATTTGTCTGCTGTGACAAAGGTCACGATACATAACGGGGTGTCACAAAGCCTTCAAAGGAGAAAGGATCCACATCGACAGATAAATCTGAAAACACAGTTTACGTGTGAAAATTACACAAAAGGATTTTCCGGCTAAACAACAAATAATGTGTCAGAGCAATCAGCGGGTAAAGAGTAAAGACAACCACTTCTGGCTGGAGTTCTGGCAGATTACCACTTCTGTTTTAACTGAATGGGTACAAAATAGTTATTATAAATCACTTGTGTGTTACCTGAGGCGTTAGTCATTTGATGGTCACCTAAATATTTAGATATGGCGGAAAGCTATTACGTTAAAAGCATTAAATGTAGATGTTGTTGTATCACAGCACCAGGGTCAATAATCACTACAGCTGTAGGTAATGTGCAAAGTGTTTTTTAGTTTCCATTAATAGTTGAAAAGATTTCAGATCACGCCATGTGAAGTGTTTTATAAAGGAACCTTTACTTTAATTATGTCCGAGATCACAGCGATACAAATCAATAGAAATGAAGAGTGCAACTTTAAAGTAAATCTCACCAAAAAAAATCACATTGTATGGTGGCAACATCAGCGCTTGACATAAAGAACCATATACGAGTCATATTATCCTGGTTTCTTACCCCCTTTAGTAAAAGCTCAAAAATCTGTTGAGAAACAAGAAAACATAATCTAACCAGTTTTACCAGAGTTCTCTCCGGAACAAGGACATGTACAAAGAATCACCCGTGGCTCAGGTACCAACCAAGCTGTTTAAACTTTTATCCCAGATGTTGGTTTGGGGAACTATACCTTTATGAGATCACTTGTTTTCTAAGTTTCAAGAAAAAATTGAAATATTTCCGTGGTTTCATCACATTTACTCGTTAAGTCATAAAAAATGTCAAAAAGTTGAGCATTAAACCTCCCAAATGAAGCCTTCAAATTAGCCACTAAAGTTCCACAGAAAACACCGCATTTTCCACCCATCAGAAGTTAAACGGCTGCTTTTCTAAAGAAAGACAACGGGCCTGCCAACTGAAAGCAGGCCTTGAAGGAGCTACTGTGTTACCACATCTAATTGTGTGAGACCTGTCTAGTGCTCAATGCACAGAGTCTGAAGGTCTTTCGTCTCCCTGGGACCATCTCTCTAAGCTGGGAAACCAGAGCTGAGGGACCCTCTCCTCGCCGGAGCTCTCCCTGCCCACGAAGCCTCTCAAAGGGGTCTTTCAGCATTGTGTCGAGACCCAGTTCCAGGTCAACGGGAGCCCAGAGATTTAGAGCTGGAGTCTGAGTGGGAACAAACGGTTTGTTTGGTGAGCGGTGTGAAGTGTCGCTCCAGAGCTTCCATCAGACCTGAGGTACTGCTGACTTTAGTGTTCGCCGTTACTTATAATGATAACAGAGGTGCTGGTTCCTGCTTTAGATTCTGTCGCTGGGCCACAGGCAGAGAGGTACGGCCCAGGCCTTCAAATAAAAGTTCACGTGATCTTTTATTTATTTTTTTATTTTTTATGGCCGTAAAAAGTCATTCAGTGCAACTCGACAAAATGTCACAAAACGTCCAAGATAAATTAAAGCCGGTGACACCTTCCGTGGCATTTTCAGAAACACAATCATACTGACCTGGGAGCGAGTGACATTTAAAAAGAAACACATTCACGCCCATCGCTGGAATTACTGCTGCAAATCCGATTAAAGAGACATATAAACATGTCCGGCGTCGAGTAAAGAAACCAGTCAGGCGGAATCAGTACGTGTCCACCCGCCCGCTGTTTTGATCAGTGCCAACGGAGGATTGCTTCTGCATCTCTGTGCAGGTTGTGCTTCGGCTCGTCCCCCCATGTGGCCCCGAGTGGCAGCTCCGCTTCATCCGGGAGACGTCGCCCCTGCGCTCACACATCTGTAGCTGTCTGCGCCCGGGGTCTTTGTGCGAGTCTCAGCCGCTGATCGGGCTGTATAATGTGACCGATGTCCTCTGGGCAATCTGCCGTTGGGACAAGGACGTGCCCGGGGTGATCCAGAGGCGGACTGGCGCCCGACTAACGGAGAGGACACCGTGACCTCTGAGGTTGTCTGGGTGCCAAACCGGCCTGTCAATTATGCGTCCGGACACACGACCTTCGCCGCTGGAACCAGCCTTTCCGCCGCCGCCCCAAAATGCACCAGCATCAAAGCCTTATCCGTCACCAGGTATGTTTGCGAGTATTAGTGTGTGTGTGAGATCATTTTCAAGCATCTGGTCTCAGGCTGAAGTGTCTCTCGGCGGTGTGTGTGAACATCAGACCGGGGATACTTCACTATTCCCCACAGTAAGGATTTCATGGCTGAGTAATATTGGAGAGCTGATCATAAAATGTTTCTCTTCGGCCCTTCTTCCTTCATTCCCTCCCTCCCTTTGTTTCTCTCCCACCCCCTTATCTTCCTTCTCTATGTCTTACTTTCCTTTCTCCTCCCCCCTCCTGCTGTTTCCTTTTAGACCGTATCTCCTGCCATTCTTTGCATTTAGCACACAGCGTTAATACACAGTCGTTGACCTGTATACAAATGCCTTTCACCCCGTCACCTCTGCATGGAGGATTAAGCAAATATTGATGTTTTTACTTCTTTATCTGCTCGCCTCCTGATCACACACCACCTTCTCATCACAATCCAACCTCGTCTCTCTTTAATTGGCATTCTGTATTCATCCTCCCCCCATCGCCTTTGTCTCCGTTCTACATCTCCTTATTTGTTTTAGCTTCAGATGGTCGGGTACATGTAACGCAGCAGTGTTCTGCTGCGTTACATGTAGCCTGGAACAGGCGTGTGTGTGTGTGTGTGTGTGTGTGTGTGTGTGGCCTATTTGCTTATTGCATTGTTAGCGACGCTGCCTTTCAACACTATTTCTTTTAAACAGACAAAAGCCTTGTTTTGGACGAGCCATGTTTATTGTTCACGCTGACACTGCTTTTATGACAGAATGACTAATGAGTTCACTCGTGTGTGTGTGTGTGTGTGTTCGTACATAAACACCATCAAGAACAATAGCAATTGGCAGCATCCTAAAATCCTGGCGAGCATGTTTTATGATTTGAATCGAGCGTGGTGCGCCTGTGAATGAAGGGTAACTGAAGGACATCGACTACCATCAGTATCCCACAAACCTTTAGGGACGCCTCTTCGGAACGAGTTCTCAATTGTACTGCAGAAATTAATTAAAGTGAGCACGCGGCATCATGTGGGGTTTGGGCAAAGCTCCACAGTAATCGACAAAGAAACAAAAATAGAAGAACTCTTCACCTTCGCCTGAAAGCATTTTGTCGTATAGCAAAAATACCCATAAAAGTTCTGGTTAATCTGTTTGCATGGTGTTGAAATCAGCAACGCAGGCATTTGTGTTTTATCTGCATGAGGATATTGCTCACTTCACCTTCAATGCAGCCCATAAAAAGCAACAAGTACACGGGTCAAGAGTCACAGCACTCAAACATTAACAGAAATAAGGCCAAAGACTGAAACAGATTGGACCACAACTAAATCCATCACAACTGCAGATGTTTGTGTGCATATATATATATATATATATATATATATATATATATGTTTTTGAAGCACTTGTTAAAGAATCGAGTTGTTGATTGGTTGGGTTTTCCTCGTTGGGACTGAGTTGAATGGGAAGGTCAGCACAACAATACAGACAAGACAGAGATGAGCGCATTGCAGTGAAAGACAGTTGTTATACGAACAAACAAATGTGTATTTTTTGAATAAATAGTTTTTTCTCGGTGGTTGTACTGAAAGAAGGTGGATAAAGGATATGTTGTAATGTCTGAAGACATCTCAAGGTTGATCACGTACCTCGTGTTTCGACAGGATGATGTCATAGTACTGGGGGCAGGTTTAACGAGGTCTGCCATTGGGTAAGAACATATCTCAGTTTCCTTCTGTTTCTTCTTTGAATCCTCAACAGTGCATAGCAATATAATGCAGCTTTTTATACCCCACAATAAAGATTCAGTTATCATAAAACCAGAAAATATTAACCAGACGGTGGGAACAGCCAGTGATTTACTGTAAGTTGATAAATAATCTCCTAACTGTGCTGCCTTTAGGTTTTAGTATTAACCCACACACACAGCTCATAGGGAGGAGGAGGAAGACAAGAGTCTTCAGACTGTCATGAACAAACAAAAGGTATTTCCTTCATTAAAATAACGCACATAAAAATTGCAACACCAGAAAAAACGTCACCTCATTAAACAAATTTCTGCACAGTCGCTGTTCAACTTGCTCAAAAGATTAGAACCAAGCAACCAATGGAAAGCAGAAATAACAACTTAGAAATCCAGCAACAAATCAGCCTCTGAGGGATCGAGAAGCTGTTCAGTTCATCATCACACAGGATCTTATGCCAACTCAGTGAGAACACTCATCGCACACACAGAGACACGTGAAACAGTTTCAGCCCGGGAGCCTGATTGCACCGCAAAGTCAACAACTGCCTTTACAATTGTGTTGCACTTTGATTTTGACGACTCGCATGCGAGGTTCTTGAATGAAGGTCAAATGCGTCGGCGTATCTCATTGTGCCGTTCACACACCGTCGTTTCCCACCAAATGCTTCTCTTTCAGTGTGTGTGGACACAGCTGGATGTTAATGAATAGAGAGCAGGTGTAAGAGAACTTGAAAGTGAAAAGCTAACTTCTTTGGTCGTACGAGATCAAAGTGCAGAGTGATGACACGTTCGATTGGGACGGACGGAAGGAGCGAGAGTCTTGAATTTTAAATCACTGCGTGTATCACCGCTCTGCTCATTTGTCTGTTTTGTTTAATGTGTCCTTAAATGATTGTCCCCATTATAAATGAAACACACTTAAACCCCTTCTGTGAAGGCATTGAATAACATTAGCAATCAATGTGGGTTTATTTAGAAAAGGCGTCTTAATGAATTACTGTTTACAGTAAACTTCTATATTATTAATGACTTTTATTTTTGCAAAACAACATTCATTAAAGTGTTCAATCTTCAGTTTATGCTCTGCACCCAAGAAGTTTAAACTCATTAAACCAGTCAATCTGGTTTGACTTATTCAATGAAACACAGGCCTCAACAACCAATTTAAAAGTGTTCCACTGTCCATTTTCTCTTGGTGGGCAGTTTTTGCTGGGTGCTCTGGTTTGTTTTTTTGCCCAGGTGTGAAGGGTCCCAGGTGTGACCCTTTTGTCTTGCATATTGGGAATGTCAGATGTGTTGTGTCCCTATGCATCGGCACTAAATTATATGTTTCCTGATTTTCTATTCTCCAGCTTTCTAGTTCAGATTTTTCCCACGTGGATATAATTGCCTGTGAAAATGTACCAGTGAAAGAAAAAGTTGACGTCAAACATAGACTGAGTTCAGGCAACCGTCTCACTGCGACCTTTTTTGAGGATTCGTACAATGTAAGTGCACCCATTCCCCTTCTATCTAAAATCAGGTTGGATCGATGATGTCGTCGGATGGATTGGACGCTGGATGACCAGGCACTTTCGAGACATTCTGCGTCTAACCACAGAAAGCAAATGTATGCGATTGTTGGAATTGCGGTTGAGCCAACATTATCTCCAGAGCGCAAGTCAATTTGATCCTACTTGAACAAGGGGCGTCTGTTACTAAAACATCCGTTCAATACAGCATTTTGTTCCTGTTCAGAGTCACGGTGAACCGACTCCAATTCCAACATACATTAGGCAAAAACAGGGTGTATTAAATTTCTCGCAGCGGTAAGAGTAACATCAGAAGTTTCTTTCTGAATATTCCACACAGACCCACTGTGAGCAGTTTGCGTAGATGCTATTTCCTCTGGAGAAAGTAGTTCCAAATTCAGACTACTAACATTAATCGTTTTATTCTCATATGAGATACTCGTTATGTCTTAAATTTGATCCTGCGGTGTATTTACAGTTTGCCTGCTCTCTTGTTACAGTTCATTCCTTCACAACTATTACGGCATTGATTCATTGTTGGACTTCAGTTTCTATCTAAATGGGAAAAAACACCATTGTTGAATTATTGAAAGGTTTGCTTGTCTGTATTAGTTGGCTTAACTATTCCAGTTAATCCCTAAGGCACACATACAAGCCATAAAAAGTGTGCATTTGCAGGTTGGACCCGCGGTCCGTATTGTGTAATCGTGCATTATGAACCGCTTTAACACCACGTTACGGTGTTTTCAAGTGCATCACTACAGAGGAAACGCTGTTCATCGTCTGCAGACAACGTGCAGCCCCGACGCCGAGAGCCACCGTCACGGCTAGAGACAAAAATAAAATAGATAATTTGATTCAAGTATTTATCCTCGGGGGAGACGGGAGGAAGTGCTTCACCGCTCTCTGACTCTGATGGTAGCACTCCCCCATTCCTCTCTCCCACTCCAACGAGTCAATAAGCTAATAGGAATGTATCTCCCCCCCACACACATTCGCTGGATGTATTTCAAAATGTGTTGTGAGCGCAATGGAGAGCCTCAGCTGGCAGATATATGGGGTTTTTCTTGTAATGGCGTTACGTTTAATCAAACCATACCAGCAAAATTAGTATTTTAAATGAATCGAATGATAACTAATAAGAAATACATGAAAGCATTGAAGCGAGACCAGCATGCGCTATGTCGTGCATATCTACCACGAGAGTCTTTCTCTTTTTCTCTGAGTTGTGGGAGAATCTGTCCGACGCTCAGCACCTCTAAAACCAGGCCAATCTCTCCTGTCTGTGGAGATTGAGCTGCTCATCAGAGCCTGTTAATTACACCATTCTCTAAAGGGATGACAAGATAAGCCACTTTCTTTTCCTGGTTGGGTCTAAGGGAAGGAGGCGGGCGGGCTCTAAAAACTAATCTCAATAATCCATAGGGTGGAAGGACACGTCTTTGCTGTCATCGGTCATCAACCATTCCACATTATCTCCGTCCCCTGTCAGCTTCCTCGAGGATATAAGAAATCATGCCTTGTCCCTGCGCTGTGCTACACCCCCCGTGGTCTTTGCACACCTCCCCCAACCTCAGCGTCCATTGTGGAATCTCCCCTGTGCACTGCTCTATTACAGCATTAACAAGGACATAATTGCAATTGAGTACGGAGGAGATAGAAGTGTGTTTTGGGAGCCTGATGGCTGTGTTCTCCTGCTCCCTCGGTATTCTAAGCCTCCTCCCCTGGGCGGGGGGGGGCACTG